AATCTGATCAAAATTAACGAATAGGGATGTAAGCCTAGTAGGTGTGACGTATGTATTAGGTGATTTAACAACATCAAAATTATCATCAACAAGTGTCGATCTTTTTGGTTTTTCGTGTGATGAAGGTGTCTTTTTGTATGAAGTAAGGGTTTTAGTCTCTAATATACCATTTTTTTTTGGTGTTAAATCATACGGTGAAATCGATTCAGCAAATTCTTTGTCAATAACATTACAATTCAAATTATTTTTTTCATCAATGTAGAGAGTATTAAATTTATCCACAATAGAATCAATGTGATTTTCTTCAAGCGTAACAACAGATTTTAATGACTTATAAAATGAGCTATTGTAATATTTGGTATTATTAAGAGATGATGTTTTAAACCAATCAACTTCATCGTAGTTGTCTTTCTTTTTTTCTAATTTTTTGTTATCATCACCCAAAACTATTGGACTTTCTGAAATATCATTTGGTGGACTTTCAATTGGCGCAAATATATAATCGTCGTCAATAGAATCCACTGAATCTCCTATTAAATCACATTTATCCAGGATTTTTTTATTAATGCGATCTTTATTACTTTCTTTATTCTTCTTGTTATTATCACTATTATCACTATTTTTATTTTTATTTTTATAATTGCCATTATTATCACTACTAGGATTATCTATTGACTGAATTGTTGACGTCTTTAAACCAATTTTTAATGAACTAGCAACATCTTTATTTTCACAGTCGACTAATGAATTGTTTGATAAACTGTCACTTGTTATCCTTTCAGATGACGACAACTCAACAAGTAAGTTGGTTTTTTTGAGCATTGTATAGTTATTTTTTATTCCAATATCTTCTAAAATGCTGTTTGTTTTATGATAACCACAATACTCTCCATTTGCAACAAGACGTTTACAATGTTTACCACTTGTTGATATTCCATTACAAAGTTGTGAATTTTTTTTTGGAGTCCTTGGAGATAACTCGTCAGTATTATCAGCATTCTTATTTGATAATGCCATACTAATGCCAATTGTTATATTACTATATACTACTATTTCGTATTTTGGAGCATATACTACTTCTTTTGCCCAATCATATTTTGACCTTTCTAAATTTAGCAAAGATTAACCATAATAGAAAATCTGACTCATGTAACAAATCAGGTTTTCAAAATATCTCATTATTTTTATAACAAATTCAAACATCATTATTAATCAAAAATAAAACCATGACATTATAGCTTTCTAACGAGCCCTCTCGTATTAATAGAGGTTCTCTATGTCAAACTAAATTTATTCAAAAACAGCATTAGTGAAAATGGCAAAAAACTCCAAAAAACATTAAATGAAAAAATGTGGGTAGGAGATTATCAGGAATAATAACCAAAAATAGACAATGAATTTCCAAATGTGGTAATTTGGTTGATAAACTTTAACA